TTTGTAAGTTGGACGTTCATAACTCAAGGACCCCTGTACTGCATTTGGTCAAATTTTGAATTAAGAGAGACATTTACGAATATGTATGATGCACATGTCGCCATGGGATGTTACCGCCTGCATCAGTGTAAACAAGTATACACGTGCCGGTCAGTTCACGTGAGTCAATCATGGAGTGCACGTCTCCAGTCTACCGTAGAAGGTCTTTCCATATGTTTTTCCTTCATTGCCCAGTATTTGAGCAATGTGTTTGTGTGTGTGTGCATGCATGTGAGAAATAGATTGTATGATGTGTCTTTGTTAATATCATTATTGATATTATTCATCTTGTATAATCATTCATTTTGTCACTAAACAAAGTCTTGTTGGTATCTAGGGAGCATGATTAATCTAGCAATATTAAATAATCCTAACCAGGCGTATATGCAAGGGAGCTGTTGCATAAAAGATGGCAGTTTGGTCCACTGCAAGCTGAGAGGGTCCTTGCTGGCAGCCAACAAGTAGCAGTTGAAGAAGAAATTAAGGAAAGGTAGGTCTACTTATTTCAATTTGATAGAAAAATATGATGGAAATGTAAACCTCACAGAACACTGAACATAATCTGTCTTGCTTTAAGACTCATTTCAAGAGTTCTGTGGTGGCATAATATTGATTTTGAATCTGCGTAGAAGAGGCATTGGTACAGTCTCGTTCAAGATTCTTCGAACACTGCTGGAGACAACTGGCAACTCAAGGCTGTTTGTTTACTATACAGTAGTATGTAGTAAAAATTAAGGAAAAATGTAAAAGTGATCAAAGTGATCGGTGATTGGTTACTTAGTTCCCCGTTGCTTAATTTAATGGTTAGGCTTTGTTTTTCATATTATTTTATACTACATACATAGTAAACAAACGGCCTTGATTTACCAGCTGTCTCCACCAGTGTTCGAAGAATCTTGAACAAGACTGTAGATTACTGAAGTAAATTATCTCCCTAACCTGGGAATTTTTATATACTACTGTATTGTTTGGGGGACCAAAACAAAGAATGCAGTGGCTGGTTTAAACTCTGTGCACTCCTAGTCCTCTATGCCATGAAAGGGTACCTAACTACACATATAGGGAAGCTAAGGTGCTTGAGTGTAATGCCTCTCACACTGCTGGCTTGTGTACCAAAGAGTTGCTTAGTTTACAGTGTGCTGTACTGTATTTACATCACCTCATCAGTCCTATGAGTTCCACTTTCATTGTTTACTCAGCCTCAGAAAATAAACCACAAGGAAAATTTTTCTTTTACATGTACTACACTGTATTCCAACTTATATATACAGTCAACCCTCGCTTTACGCGGTCCCACATTCCGCGTTTCCACGTTTACGCGGTACCCTGCCGAAACAGGAATGCTCACATTCTGCGGTGCGTGTACCCCTTTACGCGGAGAGCGGCTGGCGAGCCGCGCCATTTTTGGATCCAAACCTCCCGCCATCTCTCCCACCCTCTCCCGCCATCCGCCATGTTGTGTAAGCGGTGCGAGCATGGTGCGCACAAGGTCGCCCAGTCATCAAAACATTACCGAGTTCTTCACCCGCCACCCACCACAGCCGGCCCAAGTCAGTGATAGTGATAATTACAGTGAGGATATGGACTTATATGGACTTTGAGGGGTTTGACAAAGAGGCCCTGCAAGCCTCTGTGGTGGATAGTGATACAATTGATACAAGTGATACAGGTGAGGGCCAATAATCTGCCCTCTGCCTCGGAACCAACCGCCCATCCCCGTGTGCCCAGCCATCTTTTCTACTAATATAAGTGTTAAAAAACCTAATATTATTGATATTTCTCTTAATTATTAATTGTGTGGGCATACCATCATAAAGTTAAGATAATATTTTTACTACAACATAGTTGTGTGTCGTCAAAAAGTGGAGTTTGGGGGTCGGCCCGGTCTCTATTTCATTTAATCCCATATGTTATGTTGTTCACTTTACGCATTTCTCACTTTCCGCGGTACCCTGTGGGTTGAATTAACCGCGTAAAGTGAGGGTTGACTGTACATATATATATGCAACCAATTGTGTTGTTAGGGGAGTTCTTGATTAACATTTGTTTAACAGTGCATGAGTTTTTAAATGCCACAGTAACGTTATATATATATATATATATATATATATATATATATATATATATATATATATATATATATATATATATATATATATATATATATATATATATATATATATATATATATATATATATATATATATATATATATATATATATATATATATACAGTTAATTTCACTTAACGCCGTCAATTGAACCCAGAGGGTCCTGCTATGAAATACAAGAAGTGAACAACAGAACATATGGGATTAATTCCAATAGAAACCGCCCCACCCCCAAACTCCACTTTTTGAAGGCAAATACCTATGTTGTAGTAAAAATAACATCTTAATTTTATGATGGTACATGCACACAATTAATACTTAAGAGAAATAGAGAAATACAGTCGCCAGTTAATGTCCATTCAAATAATGGACTCAACTCTCCCCCCTCACACACTACACTCGCTGGCTCTTCCCTCTCAGAGAAATTTTGGGGAAACCACTAAATTTTAATAAATAATACCTCAAACTAAAGTTAGGATAATACAATTGACATTGCTGGATTTTGTAAGACCAGGAAATTTTTTGAATATAAATATATATTTTGCACAAAAAGATAACATAGTTACCTAGAGAAAAATTTTTATCTAAAAATTTGTATGTTTAATGAAAATATAGATGTTTATATTCAAAATGATCACCAAATTATAAGAATTCCAGCAATGTAAATTATATTCTGACCGGTAATTTGTATGAATTTTAGAGCTAAAACAACATTCAGTTAATAAAAAAAAAATAATTCTTCACAGGTAACAGATGGTCGGTCGGTCCTCCTCCCCCCACCCCACCAACCGTCCCCAAGGAGATGTGTGGATAACCACTAAATTTTAATAAATAATACTCAAACTAAAGTTAGGATAATATAATTGACATTGCTGGATTCCTTGTAAGACCAAGGAATATTTTGAATATAAATGTCATATATTTTGCAAAAAGATAACATAGTTAATTTGAGAAAATTTTTATCTAAAATTTGTATGTCTAATGCAAAAATATGATGTTTATATTCAAAATGATCACCAAATTATAAGAATTCCAGCAATGTAAATTATATTCTGGCCGGGTAATTTGTATGAATTTTATGAGCTAAACAGTCAGGCAGGTGGGGCACCAAAAATAGTCTGGAGCCGACACTCACCAAGATATGTGGAAAAAACTGCAGCTTATGAAAGTTCACATCTGGCAGGCATCAAGCGATATGATAAAACGCTAAGTGAAACCAAGTATGGGTAATACTGTATATATATATATATATATATATATATATATATATATATATATATATATATATATATATATATATATATATATATATATATATATATATATATATATATATATATATATATATATATATATATATATATATATATATATATATATATATATATATATATATATATATATATATATATATATTCACGATCTAAAAGATCTTAGATCACATACAGTCTGTGATCTAAAGAATTTTTAAGATCTCGGACTTTACAAGAAGAAGCCATTTGCTTACTCCTAGCATTTTCACCAATATCACTGATATATATATATATATATATATATATATATATATATATATATATATATATATATATATATATATATATATATATATATATATATATATATATACACACACACATACATAAAATCACAAATGAACACCAGACCTACTTCGACTTTATTAATAAATATCTTAAGCATATCCTAACGGCCGAAAATTTCTAAATGAGATAACATGCGAAATATTATGTATTTAGGTATAGCACTATATCCTATGCAATATATTATTTTTGTACTATTATATGTTTAATATATATATATATATATATATATATATATATATATAGTAACCAAATTGACTAAATGGATTTCGAGCAAATGGGACTTATTACTGAGTATACCAACCCTGCATGGTATAAATGTCATTTTTTCTTTAAAATCATACATAAATTTTTGTTCAAAAAAAACAAAACCAAAAAAACAAAAAAAAAAAAACACAAAAACACCAAACCCAAAAAACCACAAATTAAATGACACACTATTTTCTATACCGAACGTTTCCAGTTAATGTAGTCTCCATGTATAATTAGAAAATTATGGGGGCCCTATGTGCATTCAGCTGACTACATTAAAGGTTAAGTGCTCAGTACACTGTATCCATTCCTTATTATTTATTACTTTCACTGTACTGTATCCATTCATCATTATTCATTACTTTTACTGTACTGTATTTCATTGTAGATTTATTAAAAAAAAATTTTTTTTTTTTTTTTAATCTATATCGACTTACGACCAACGACTTACGACCATATCGGACTTACGACCATATCGGACTTACGACCTGGATTTGGGTCCCTAACCCCGTCGTAAGTCGGGGTTTAGGTGTATACACAATGTTAAAACATATTTGGTGCGGAAAGCCACTTTCCATATTTTAAATATAACATTAAATTTATATCATCTCATGAATTAAATCTGGTGAAATTAGTATATGCTATATATGTTTTTGCCAGCCCTCAATATACCACCTTGAAACCCTCCTGCATACCCCTTGGGGCTATGAACCCCAGTTTGAGAACCCTTGGTTTACAGTGTAGTAAAACTACTGGCATAGTCTGAAGAATTGCTAATGATATATTCTGGTAATAGCAGGAGAAAGTTTGCAAGATTGAAAAAAATGTATGCAGTATTACATTGTATATTAGTTAGCTAAGGTCATAGATGAATCTTTTTTCTTTTATTCAGGTTTGGCATTGTTTTCAAGATAACACAAGAGGAAGGGGACTATTTACTTCTTGACACACAACAAGAAGAGCGCAGCAACTGGATGATCTTTGTACGTCCAGCAGAGGAAAGCAGAACAGAATTTGGTGGCATTCCAATACAAAGGGGATATTTATTTTGCAACTATCAAAGTAAGTAATATGGCTAACTACATTACTTGAGCTTACCTGTATAATGATTCCTCAAATTAGAATAGTTTTCAGTGCATTGTTGTCTTTATTTTACTACCGAGAGGTATTTAGTATTTATCCCGTTTGTATGTGATGGAAAGGACTAAAATTTTGTGAACAAAATAGAAATATGCATGAATTAATCTAGATGTAGGGAGGCTAATGCACCAAAGAAAAACAAACATAAAAGATAATGACATACAGTGAGAAGGTTAGGGGTTGAAGACTATTGTTTGAGTGGTTATGGCCTTGTATGAGGGTTCAAGAATTGCTGCAAGAATAAAGGGTAAAGAATTTGGGGGGTGAAATTGAGCCCCCTTTGTTATCATTGTTCCTGACTGTATTGCACGATTTTATGACTGATCTACCTTGGGAGTTGTTGTATATAGAGGAATTTTGTTGATAGCAGAATTAAGATAGTGGAGAAGTTTAAGAAATGGAAGGCAGGAATAGAGTCAGAGGGTATAAGAGTGAAAGTAATGATTACTGGCATGGGAGAAGGACCTTTAGTGGAAAATTGCTACTGGCCATCTACTGTCTGTAAGAAAGCTGTTGGTAGCAACTCAATGATATGCAGTGAGTGTGGAGGGTGGGTACACAATACATACAATGGTGTAGATAGCATAGTGTGCTGTATGTGCAGATAACTGGAGTAAGGATGGAAAACTCAACATTTGAGATATATCTCTGGACTGTGTCAATGCATTCTGCTACCTTGGGGATATGATCATTGCTCAAGGTAGTGTTCAAATACGTAGTTGCAAGAGTCAGAAGTGGCTAGAAAATTATTGGGAGCTGTTTCCTTTATTGACAGCAAGAGGACCTACTCCATGTGAAAGAAAAGATGTATACAACCATCTCAGCCAATTTACACAAAACCTCACCAATACTCTCAATTCCCAGCCTCTCTCATAACTCTGAACAGGAACTCCTGTCTTTCAGTACCACATTACACATTCACCTCATCATTCTCATTTTGCTTGCACAAGTTTACTTATGTCATCCTCTTTAACTGCCCATATTTCACTGCCACACATCACACTTTTCACACCAGACACATACATTCTTTCTATCATGCAGAGGAAAGGTCCTCTTGCCTTCAATTAAGGCAACAGATCCCTAAACTTCCCCCATAACAAAGTGGCTAAGTGTTAATTTTTTGGTGAATCTTGCAAATGGTGATACAAGTATGAAAATTGGCATGAAGATTCAATGAGTTAATTATATATCAAATCTATCTGATTAGACATTCAAAACTCCTAGATGGTGGCCATTTTCCAAGATGGCCACCAAATGTGGAGGTCAGATTTTCCTTTTTGGCATAAAAATTATTGTATTCATCAATTTAGATGATTTCAGCGTTACTTGGTTATTGGAATATGTAACATGTAAAATAAAATATATAAAGAAAATCAGAAAGTGAACAGAGTAAATTGGAGGAAAATTTTTGAGAATTTAATTTTTTAAATATCAGAGTACAGTATGCAGCTCCTCCTCAACTTACGACGGGGTTAGGGACCCAAATCCAGTTCGTAAATCGGAATGGTCGTAAGTTGGAAATGCAAATAATAATAGTGGTCCCTTGGTTAACGAACGCCTCGTTTAACGAAATTTCGGTTAACGAATTACTTTCCATAAGAATCTTCAATTCGGTTAACGAACAAAAATTTGATTAACGAAATCCTTACGAAAATCACATTTTGTTCTGAGCATTAGCTGGTCATCCGATGGCCCAGTCTGCCAATTCAATAATCTGTTCTAAGTTTAAATTCGTTTCCAATGGAGTATTTTTGGAGTAAATACACCTGTTTCAATAAATTTCAGCTTTTTAATATTTTTGAATGTTTTATATTAAAATTATTAGTCATTTTAACATTAAATATTGATAATATATGCAGTACTGTAGAGGGAACTAACATACCAGTTTGCTGTTGTGAGAATCAGCTGAGGGGTACAGTACTCAGCCAATTCAGTAATCTGTTCTATGTTTAATTTCGTTTTCAATGGAGTAAATACCCTGTACAGTAGGGGGCAGGGAAAAAACACTTTTATTTGAGTTGCAGGCTGCACTTTTCAGGCATCGTTTGTATGGCTGTAACAAACACCTGTGCAAAATTTCATGCCATTTCATGCATACTTACCCTGCCGCATCGCGAACGACTTTTTGTCAACTTTTAGTGTATACCAAAAATTAGGTGTCATTTAATGTTTTCCAAGATAATGATAAATTTTACATGGGTGACATCGATTTAATTCACATGTTATTTTACAGGTACACCGTATAGAAAATCATTACAAGTTCATATTGAAATTCTTTTTTGTGCGGAACCTTGGCATCATTTTCCTAGACAATAATCTTTGCCTAATATATCCATCTCTCGATTCGTATCCCGTCACTTCAGTGCAAGCTTCAGTCATCACTTTTATGCTCTCTCGACCGCCTGAGTGCTGTTTGGCCACTTGGGCACCACTAATGGTGTCTCAAGAATGTCATTAACCTGTAGATTTGACAGAGAAGCAATGTAAGGAGGCTCAGTCTTGAGTTCATTCCTCCAGTTAATCATGGAATGATAGTTTTTGCTTGCCACTTTAGTTTCGGAGTCACCACCTTTCTCATGTTGACTACAGGAGGCACATCCTCATTCCCATCTCCATCTTTACCCTCCTCATCAGTATAGTTTAACAAATTCTCGTCAACAGCAGCATCAGAATCTTCCTCCTCCTCTTCAAATCTGCCAGTGCATTCTTCCTTTTGCTGATTCTCCTCTCTAATTTTTCTTATCATTGAGACAGCTTTTTCTCTAACAGTCATGTCCTCATCTGCACACATACCAAGAAGAAGTTGATCTGTGTGGGCGAAGTATGCATTTCTCTGGACAGCCTTCTTCACTATCGTCTCCTCCTCACTATTCAGGTGTTTCATATATAGCAGGGACTGGAATACGTTCCTTGAGCCGTGTGTTACGTAAGGGTGTATCTTGATGTAAAACCACATTGGAGCACTGAACTTTATTATTGTAATGACAATTCTTTTCAACTCATGGCTGGGTCTTGATGTTGCTACATACAGCCTGAGGATTCTACTCCATAAGGTGTTCCACCTTGACACACAGGGAGGACCTGGCTCAATAGCAGCCAAGTCATCTTCAACAACACCTGTGATAACTCCTTTACAAATCCTATACAGGTATTTCTGATCCCAGGACAGATCTTTCTCCACTTCATCATTAAACACAGGGAAATCAGGGAAACTGACTGGCTGGAAGGCGACAACTGGAAGCTCAGACAAAGACTCCTTGATCTGCTTTCCAATGGGACCACGCCAATGCTCAGGACCACTTGGTTTACCATCATAGTGATAAAAAACTGCGCGGAAAGGCAGCTCATTTCCGTGAAGCTGACATATGAAATAATGGAGCGGGTGACCAAGTAACATTTCAAGATGATGAATGACTCCATTTTCTGATCCTACATTTACATTGGTTCCATCACAACCAACACACACAATGGGCTGCTGGGTTAGATTTTTCTCCACCAGAAACTCGTGAATAGTTTTGGCAATCTGCTTTCCGTGTCCAGTCTTGGGAGTCACATGTGTGAGATATTCATTGCCAGGCTCAACCATGATGACATAATGATCTTTCACCATCATCCTCGAACTCCATTTCTCGTGGTGATCCTGCGGTGTGAACTGCTTAACGGTAACTATTTGAATAATTTCAAGTGCGCCAACTTACCCAGGTCTCCCCTACATTACAGTACAGTAACACAACATTGAGAAATGAAATGAGAAAAGGCTGATAATCAATATAGACATAGCACCATACTCATCTGATGAAATAAGAGATATGAAAAAAAGTTGATAAACACTGAACAGAACATTGCACCGCCACAGCGGCTGTTTGGCTAGTACTGTAGGTAAATTTAAAAATTTCAGTAGAAAATGCGGCAGACTAAACCTCGACTTATCAGCTTCAAATTTGGCATGGAGTCTTAGATATGTATAAGGAACAATGCCTGAAGAGTGCAGCTTTGAGCAAAATTTCACTGCCCCCTACTGTACAGTATCAATAAATTTGAGCTTTTTAATATTTTTGAATGTTTTATATTAAAATTATTAGTCATTTTAACATTTATTTAACATATTGATAATATTATATGCAGTACTCCTTGTACAGGTTCAGTCTGGCTTTGTTTACAATCGAGAGAGCAATTATTTTGTTGGTGTCTTGATTTTTGCATTTTTCATTGAAATTATTGGTCATTCTGAACTTTAGTTAACATATTGACAATATATAGCGCAGTGCAGTGTTGATTTAAAAAAATAATCTTGAATTACACCTAGTGAACTTAAAATTTTATTGGTGAAATGAGGTCTCAAGCATGTGTCCCCTGAAAGATGATTTCTCCTCCACCCCCACTTCCTTCTCTTCTCCTCCACCCCCACTTCTAATTCCCATCATCATCATCAACCAGGAACCTTGTACATACACACCTCAAAGTAAGTGCACTTTACTGCATTTTTTTTTTACTTTGTATGTACTTTTTGGTGAGCTGGAACCAATTACCCAATATCCCATTGAAACAATGGATTCGGTTAATGAAATTTTCGGTTAACGAACGACATTCTGGAACGAATTGTGTTCGTTAACCGAGGGACCACTGTACATATAAAATCTAAAATGAAATACAGGACAGTAAAAGTAATAAATAATGGATACAGTGTTACTGTGCACTTACCTTTAATGTAGTCAGCTGAATGCACACAGGGCCCCAATAATTTTCTATTTACAGGATACATGGAGACTATTATATGGATGAAGCAGAGGAGGAGACAGGGCTGGGTGGGTCATCAATGTTGCTTTCTTCAGACAGGTTTATGTACAGGGAAACTTGCTGGTTGAAGGTATTGGATCATCTTTAGGGAGTGAAGAGGCAGCACTGGTGGGGCATGAGGAGACAGCAATGGGGGACTTCTCAAAAGAGAACTCCAATTTAGATTGCACAGTTTGCTTTTTCTTTTCATTATAAATTTCCCTGTAGCAAGCAAGTGCATTTTGGACCATTCTGTCAACTTTGGCAAAACGCTTATAATTTTGATCCATTCCGTCAAACATTTGCATCCTCTTATTAATTGTAGCAAATGCCTCTGCCATTTGCTTCACTGAAAAATTTTTGGGGGGTGCAGGTCCTTCTTCTACATTTAGACTCTCTTCTTCCTCTGCATTTTTCTGTCTTCCAGTTATATAAGATCCTTGTTACTTAGCTCTCTTGCTACACTTTCAACCAACTGTTCAACATCTTCATTATCAATATTTAACTCAAGCTGTTTACCCAACTCCACTATCTTGTTACTAATCTCAGAAATTACTTAATTTCATTAAATCCTCTGAAACTGTTCACATATCTTTTCAGTACTTTCTTCCATATTCCATTCGTGCATTGTTCTGTAACCTCATCCCATGCTGCAATAATGTTTTTTATACATGTCAAAATGTTGTAGTCCTTCCAAAACTGTCTGAGCATTTTCTCACCTTCAGCAGCAGCAACAGCCCGAGCGAAGGTCATACGTAAATAATTAGCTTTAAAAGCTGCAATAGCACCTTGACAGTATGACAGTATCACCAGTCATAGTTGCTGACCAGCCTCTTTATGCCCTAGCAAAACAGATACAATGGCACCAGCCTGATTATGGAGAAGATAATTTGTGTTCATGTTTGGAGGGCTTCATATAGAGATGGCTGCACTGAAATCAGTTGGAATTCTGCTTCAGGACAGTGGGTGGACCAGCTGCATTGTAGAGGCAGGAGTGGCCTCATCTAGCACAGCAGTCTTTCCTCTTGGCATCTAGTGTCACAAGAACACGCCATGCACATCAGATTACTGCTTGTAGTCTGTACAAGGTTATGAAGGATGCATATAATGAGTACTGTTCAGGTGTATCTAGAGATACAGCCTTGGGATTTGAAGAGTGGTGTGACCAAAGGATTGATTTGAAAGTCCACAGTTCCAATTCTAGAGCCTTGTACTTGACATTTTACTTTTATCCTCTGCACCACTGGTCGGCTCGTTAGCTGCTTGGGCAATCGGTCACGTCTCTGATTACTTTTCCTTTTCTTTTATCCTCTCCACCAAAAGACCGGCGCATTAGCCGCTTGGGCGATCGGTCATGTCTCTGTTATGCACTGTTGGCAAGTACTGGACATGCACTGGCTCCTGAATGTACCTGAACCCGCTCCAGTGTTGGTCAAGTCTTGTTTTGAAAGAGCTCACACTCGGTGCCGTCACAACACTTTCTGGTAGATTGTTCCAAGAGTTCACAACTCTCACTCAGAAAAAGTTTGCCCTCACAGTTTTCTGGACTTGTGGCTTCTTCAATCTTGAGCTGTGACCCCTTGTGGGACGAGCGTCCGCCAGCTCCAAGTAAGGACACTCGACTAAGTAATGCCCCTTGAGATGCTTATACACCTCTATTAGGTCACCCCTTGCCCATCTGTAGTATAAGCTAGGCAAGTTCAGGCGCTCCAATCTCTCAGGGTAGCTGAGGTGCCGAAGGGCAGGCACCAGTCTGGTGGCCCTCCTTTAAACATTTTCAACCAACTGACAGTCCCTAGCATATCTTGGGGACCAGGCGGGGTGACAGTACTCCAGATGGGGAAGCACTTCACTCTTGAAGATCGTTACGAGGGACGAACCGTCTAGATATCTGAATGACCTTCTTATAAGACCCAATAATTTATTTGCCTGATTTGCCTTCTTCTCACAATGGCCCGAGAACTTCAGCTCATTGTCAACATACACACCTAGGTCCTTCTCACATTCAGTCTCAAATAGTGCAGTTTCTTCATTCCGTTGGGACATATGATACGCCTCCTTACCGTTGGTATGCCCCAGGTGCATCCTCTTACACTTCGTGACATTGAATCTCAGCAGCCATTTCTTCGACCATTCTTGGAGCCCACAGAGGTCCTTCTGCAGCTCTTCACAGTCTGCTTGATTCTTGATTTCCCGAAATAACTTGGAGTCATCGGCCAACATTTGTATGGAGGAGTGTACAACGCCAGGCATGTCATTTATGAAACAAACAACAGCAGGCCCAATACACTGCCCTGGGTACCCTGCTTGTGACAGGTACGGATGATGATTTCATGCCATTATTCACCACACACTGCTTGCGTTCATGTAGAAAGTATCCTATCCGCGCTAGGGCATTTCCCCAAATTCCGCACCCTTCCAGTTTGATTTTCAGCCTTTCATGGAGTACACTGTCGGAAGTCTTGGCTAAATCTAGGTAAATATTGTCAATATTACCACCCCATTCCAGAATATGAGTCCAAATATCCAATACCTTGAGCAATTGTGTTAAGCAGGAGCGCCCCGGCATAAAACCGTGTTGGCAATCCTTTACCAGTTTGTTTTGTAGTAGATGTTCCATGGCGGCATCTCTGATAATACTCTCAAGTACTTTACATATTATTCGTAGTAATCCGATCATTGAGAAGCAAATGTTGAAATGTATTGCGATGTTGTGTCAGAACTTATACCTTACTTTTTTGCAAACAACAATGTCAGCTATGCTCATTGGCTCCCTATTCACCTCAGAGATATGCTAGCTTTAGAATAACAACACCCAGAAGTAGCAAGGGAGTTCCACAAAGGATATTTTGTTGTGCATAAATCAGAAAGGCATTTCTCTTCACTAGCCATTGACCAGGCATCTGAACAAAATTATGCAGTCATAAAAGATGAGGGGGAGCCATTGGCCTGATAGTGGATCCAACAGCCCTTAGGCAATGGATGGTGGCAGGACTTGAAGTTAATTGTTTAGTTGCAGGCTATGATACATTATCATGAACAAAAGATCCAGAAGCAACTAACAGACATCAAGAAGAGAGTCCAAATGCTCAAAGTTTGTTCTTTGTTGTTCTTTGGCTAATACTCTAGCCAGACCTTCCACCAATAGCAGTGAGCTGCTAAGAACTGAACAAGTGGTCTTGCGAGAAAGACTGTGGACAGTGATATAAATGTATCTGCTCTGGTGTCACTTGCACATCGCTGTGTGGATGCACATTCCAGCAGCTGTAAATATGAAAGAATTCTTATAACAATATCTCCCAAGGGTATGAGCAAGATATAAACATGTTTCTCATTGTTTAACTAAGAATCTCTTACACTTATTTTTATGAAAAGAGGTAAAAGTATGCAGAACCATGACTTTATGCATAAAAGACATATCTGAGGATTCCCAAACAATCATAATCTTTTCCAATATGCTTTAAAACATAGGAATAGACACCTTATGTGCACAGATTGCCCAATAATAAGTCATTATATGTAAAAAAAAATAAAAATTGATTAGGCAAATTGGGCGGCTATCTTGGAATTTTGAATGTCCAATTGGATAGATTTGATAAGTAACCCATATTGAATGTTCATATCAAATTTCATGCTTTTATGATCTTTTGCATGATTTTACCTGTTATCCTCTATGCTACCAGCCACTTCTGACTCTTCCAACTGAGCAGGTTTCAACACCCTCACCAGCACTGATCATGTCATCCAGGTAACAGAACTCATCAATACAGCCATTTTTAAAATATTATAGATTACTTTGGCAACATAAAAAAGGCTTTTATTGATTATAACAAAATTATTTTGATATTACAGTATTACAAGTATCGGTTATCGAAGCTCGGGCAGTCTTCAAACTCTCAAACTGTTCAGGTATATTGTTTGTCAGTACAGTACTATACTTCTTTTTATTAATAATGAGGATATCAATTTTAGACTTTTGTCTCTTTACGTTTCTTTTCAGGAAATACCAGCACAATGTGAACTCAAAGTCTGGTTTTCAAAGGACTATGCAGAGAGGATGGGAACAAGAATACTTGCTGGTAAAGTTGATTTTTTTTTTTTAAATTTTCAAATAGTGTACTTTATATGAGTAGGGAAAATGGTATTGAAGTTTCACTTATTTATACTTAAATGTACATTTTCTTATGAATACAATTTGGTTAATTTGTACAGTGAAATATGAATGAATTTCATTGAGATATTAAAAGCACTAAGGATTGGACTTGAGGACCAAATTATTTTGGAAATACAGTACAGGTATTATGTACAGGTAGTCCTCACTTAACATCAAGGTTCCATTCGTGAATAAAACCTTTTCACATTGTATTTCTCCAATGAGTCACATTTACAGAGCTTTGCTCCATGGTATGTGTGTGAATAATAAATGGTTTATTAATAGAGTTGCAGCCGGTGGCTGAAAATATACAAGCTTACATGTGATTTAGACATAATAATATACATTCAATACATTTACAGAGCTGTACAGTACATGAATGAGGAGCTGTTTATTATTTTGACAATAGATGGGATGGTGCTGTTCTTATATCTATCAGTGCGGGCTCTTATGGGCTGAATTTTGTTGTAGTGGCGGACTGCGCGAGATGGGCGGGGGACTGCCGGTGGCAGTAGGTGGCGATGACGAGGATGGCGCAGTAGCCCACTGCCAAATCCTGCTAGTGCGCGGTGGTGGAGGTCGCTGAGGGATAGCATTTCCAGGTTGGAGAGAGCGTTGTTGTAGCCCGAGTAGTCTGCGCCGAGCATGATTCTGCAGGCCCTCTTCTGTACCTTCTCTAGCTGACGTTGTTGGGTTGAGTTGAGAGAAGACGACCAGGCTGGTGACGCATACGTTAATTTTGGGAGAGTAAATGCGTTGTAGATAGTCCTCAGCTCTGGCATGGGTGCTCCAAGTGACCTGAGTCGTCGTAGCATGTAGAGTCGGTACAAGGCTGCCTTGATTGTGTTGTTTACATGGGCCTTCCAGTCCGGTTTGTGGTCTATAGTTACCCCCAGGAGTTTGGCAGACTGCACTAACTGGAGAGGATGGGCACCCACTGTAACTGCTGGAGCTTGCACTGGAATGGTGGCGGTATTGAAGTGCATGTACGGTTTTGGTGTGATTGCTGGTGACCTTGTTCTCCGTAGTCCATGCCTGTAGCTTGTCCAGGGTGCCTTGTAGCGATGTATAGTCCGGTGAGGTGTTGTCCACTGTAACCCCCACAGTGCAGTCATCCACGTACTTCCACCTGTGAGGAGTGTCCGACAGAGCGTCGTTGATCAGGATTGGGAAGCACAGTGGTCCCATCTTGGTCCCCTGGGGAACACCGCAGGTGAGGTGTTGGAATGTGGAGACAGAACCCTGGTACCTCACTGCCTGACGACGCTCACTCAGGAAATGAGTGAGCCATGAGACCAGGTTGGTGGGCAGCCCTAGTGCAATGGCCTTGTCGATAACAGTGCAGTGATCAACAAGGTCAAACGCCTTCCTTAAGTCAACAAGGGCAACGGCCAGTGATGTTTTACATTTCTCCAGGTTTTTGTGCAGAAAATCCAGGAAGCTAACTAAGCAGTGTGATGTAGAGGAGGTCCTCATATTGCCAAATTGCTGTGGATCAATTGACTGACGAATACTAGCAAATGCCCATTCAAAAACAAAGTCTTTGCAGAGTAGACTGGGTATGGGGGTAATGGCAACTGGTCTGAGGTCACTAGGGGACTGTGGGGTGGGGACCTTGGGGATAGGGGTGACAAATGCGGTTTTCCATTCATTAGGTCATTTGCTTTGTCTGAGGGATGCAATAATAATGGAACAGAGGGGGGTGGCAAGTTCAACTGCAAACTCCATATAAATTTTGATTGGGATGTCAATTGGGGTTGTAAAGCATTTGGATTTAAATATCAGGAGTTTGTTGGCAATTTCAAATGGTTGAACACTGGGAGAGGAGGAGGGGGAGGGTAAGTAGGCAGGGAGGGGAATGAGGTCAAGACTGGGTAGGGTATGACATATGGTAGCAAAGTGGTTATTAATTGTCTCAGCTGCCTCCTCACTAGATAAATGAGAGATAAAAGGAAATGTGAGAGACTGACGGTTAAGACCACAGAAATCTTTTACCTCAGAGAACAACTGACCGATGCCGACTTCCTTGAGGCCGTGCACTTTCCTGGGATAATAAGACTTCTTGGCTGACTTGATTTCCCTGATGACCTGGTTTCGGAGACTTCTGTACAGGCGGTTGTTGGTGTAGTATGCCTTGTTGCGCTGCTCACTTAGTCTTTTGATCCGGGCTGTAATCCACGGGACACCATCGGGGTGGATCCTCAGTGTCTTGGCTGGAAAGAAGTGGTGGTAGGCTTTGGTGATAGTGTCCAGGTAATTATCCCACTTGTTCTGCACATCGTCTACCGTGATCACTTCAGTCCAGGGATACCGGGTCACCCATTGTCCGAAACGTGGCATGGCAGAGTCAGGGGTGGGTCGGTAAGTCCTGGTGACAACTGGCGGTCGTGAGATGGTAGGTGTAGGTGACCACAGTACAGACAGGTGGGGGCTTCGCCCCATGACGGGCAGTGGCTGGGGGGAAGGTAGTGGTTGCCGAGCTCAGTCATGATGAGGTCCAGGGTAGCATTCCCATGTGTAGGAAAGTCAACTATCTGGGCAAGGTGGAGATGTTGGGTGATGTTGCTGATGTCTGACTCATTAAAGTCACCGCATATCACTAGTTTGGCACATGGAAATCTCGATCTCAGGGAGTCAGCAGTGTCTATTATATGAGTAACCAGTACATTGGCAGTAGGGGCGTGGGGGGTGATTAGCCACTCAAGCAATGAGGGAAGCAACCTGGTGGAAGGTGGGAGTGACCTTAACCCACAAAGCTTCTACATCCTCAGGTACATTAACACCTAGGTGTGATGGTTTAAGGTCACTGCGACAGTAAAGCACCACACCACCACCTCGCCTGTTCTTTCTTAGGTGGTGAAATAACTCATAGTGTGTGTGTGTGTGTGTGTCGTCATCTACAAGGATTTGCATACCTTGCTGCATCATGTTGAACGCTTCTGCCTTCCTCTCGGGAGCTTGCGTTCGTTGAGGTTCTTCTCCATTGTCTTCATCGACAACGGGACTGTTTTCTGTTAGTTGTTGCAAATCTTCATTGGTGAGCTCTTCTGTATGGGATGCCAGGACGTCCTCAATATCCTCTTGATTCCAGCTCATCAAAGCCTGCTTCTCTAGCCAAACTGAGGATATTCCTATTCACTGCTGGGACTAAGTCCTTGAATCCCGTAAAACTGTTGATGCAATCTGGCCACATTTTACCCCACACACCATTCAGGCAACTTTCTGAAACCTCTTCCCATGCCTTGCTAATGTTGTTAATTGCATGAAGAATGTTGAAGCCACGCCAATATTCTCGGATCGAAGGTTTATTATCTCCGTCTGTAGCTTTGTGCAGCTGGGCCATGGTACGGCGTAAATAATATGCCTTGAATGCGGCGATGAATAATATTAAGGCTGGTAGAGTGAGGAAAAAAAAACCATAATATACTGTACAGGTGCTCCTCTACTTACGAACGAGTTACATTCCTGAGGCTTGTTTGTAAGTTCAATTTTACTCCTGTAGATCCCAAACATATTGTAAAAAATTAAAAGATTATGGATATTTAGTACAGCTATACCCTTTAATACAGCTTTAAAACCTGGCTCACTCTTCTTCTCTTAGGTAATGTTTGTTCTATCTGGAATTTTCTTCAAAATAATCCAGTTTCATCCACATTAAACACCTGTTCTGGCAGGTAACCCCCCCCGCCCCCTCAGTAATGATGTTTGTATCTCTGAAAGTTTGCAAGTTGAACGTTCTTAGGTAGAGGAGCACCTGTATATAATTTTTTCTCCTAAATTTGTCAATCCTTTTAGTTTCTGCCATATACAGTGGTCCCTCGATTAACGAACACAATTGGTTCCACAGAGTCGTTCGTTAACCGAAAATTTCGTTAACTGAAAATTTCATTAACTGAATCTGTTATTTCGATGGGATATTGGGTAATTGGTTCCAACTCACAGAAAAAGTATACATACAGAGTACTGTATACCGGTAATAGAATTAACAAAACATTAAATATAAACTTAATACAGTTCTGTACTGTACAGTATACTGTACAATAATAAATAAAAAACAATAGAATACTATATTTTAACTTACTTTGAGGTGTGTATGTCGTATTCCCGGCAGCTTTGTTTACATATCAAACAGCTGATTGTAGAGGCAGTCGATGATGACATGCCATATTCTTTACAGAGTGCAATGACTCTAATGCCTTCTTCATGTTTCATATTAATTTCTGCACTCTATATTATCAGTATGTGAATTAGATTTCAGAATGACCAATAATTTTTATGTAAAAATGCAAAAATATTCAAGAGACCAACAAACTGAATGTTCACTCCACTGTAAACAAAGTTAAACTGAGAAGCATTGGTGGGTAATTTGATCAGCTGATTGGCACACAAAAACTGTTCCCTGTACTGTCTTTATTTTCAATATGTTGACTAAATTAGAATAACCAATAATTTTAATACAAAAAATTAAAAAAAATCAAGAGCACAACTTTCTTGATATTTACTCCACTGGAAACGAATATAAACACAGAACTAATTACTGTATTGGTGGACTAGTCGATCAGTTGATACACACAACAAAGCGTGTTTCTTGTAAGGCTTTCATTAATCGATTGGGAAAACAGTTTAGAAGTGTATAAATCATCTTGTGTCATAGAAAAACTTCTGGTTGAATCAAGTTTGATTAGAGAAATTAATTCTGTAAAACTTAGTGATGGTCAGTACAAAACTGATATGTTACACAAATTTATTTGTCAGTGGCCCAAGGTTAAAAATGCTTTGAAAGGATTTGAGGTAGATGTAGGATAGATGATTAGTGGGTCTCATATATTTTTTGCCTAACTTAACATGACTAGTTACGTCGCCCTTTCTTATAAGCTCCTCTTGTGTTTGCGGTGGTGGTGTTGTGTGGATTAGTGGATGTCATGT